GATTAATCGCGGTACCTTAATATCAATCCTAAAATATTTTGGCTTTGGAGGGGCTGTCCCTCTCACTCGCATCGTCATATTTAACCAAAAAGTTTTATAGTTAAAGTGGGAGTCATTTAAATAATACAACTATTTTACCTTCATCGTCATTAATTGTCTCAAAAACAAGTCCGTTTTATATTAGACTTTGATATTAAAAGGATACATTACAAGTGTTGTCTAGGACAGAGGTAGAGTTCTGAGGAGGAAGACAGTTTGAACAATTGGGGTGGGTTTTTATGGTTCAACACTTCTGCATTCAGTATGACTCTTTTATAAGATTAAATTACAATGTATCTTCATCAAATTTTACAAATCTGGTATCTACCATACATAACTTAAATACCTAAGCACAAAAAATACCAGACAGCTTTTTGAATGAATAAATATAAATTCTTTAAAAAACAAATGAATGAATATGCGAGCATATATTTGGGTGGAAGTTTACTAATATTCATTACAAGACATCTTTTTCTTCTCTGCCCTTCTTGGCATTTTTTATTTCTTTATGTTCTTCCTATTTTAATTCTCTCTTCGGTTGTTGTTAGTTTCCTACGTTTAATTGACTTCCCTTAGAAGGAGGCTGCCTACCTAAGAGTTGATTATGTCCTCTGTGTGTTGTTGTATTTGCTCTGGAATGTATAGTTTGTAGTTAATTATTATTATTATAATTCATATTATTATATATCTACCGATAAGAAACGCCAGATTGAGTTATTTAGCATCTCTCTGATTGCGGACATTATCGTTAGTACCGTACGTCACCGATAAGACGTACGTCTGACGTTTTTAATAATGAGCGGTGTCGTCTTGTCAAAATTCCCGATAATGATGACAAATTGGCGGCCCAAAAAATGTTCACGGTATCAAGAGCATACCATTCCGAAGATAAAACGAATGCGCCCGAAGGTCGATTAATATAATTAATCGTTGCGTTGAACTTTTCGAAAAATCGCCTTTCTGGTCTGGTTTCTTTTTTCTCTTTCGTTACGGGCGAGCGAAATTGCCTTTTTCCTCGCGCGGAATTGCATTTAAAACGAGTAATTTGCCGCGTATAATAATGGCGGCTGCGAGATATTTTAATGGGAGCGTCCCGTCCGCGAGAGAGATAAATAGTACGGTGTTTCGGTAGTTATTACTGATAGTTTTTAGTCATTACTTAATTAGTTATTAATTATTTATCTTACTGTTTGTTTAAACAATTATGCTCTTTTTTGTTGCCCGTCAGGTCCGGCTCCACATTTTTTTTCGTTCTCTTTGAGTTTTTTATTTCAAACTTTAGGAAGCTTTACCATAAAGGGAAAAAATGCATAATATAATTCTAGTAGGTGTATTATGTCAATAAATATTTTTATTTAGTTAATAAACAGAAATTTCTATTCCTGCAACTTAAGCATAATCTGTGGTACATTGTTGTAGGTCTGCATACTTCCACAAAATCGTAGAGTTCTGTGATTTTCTGGTTCTGCTGGTTTTTCAACAGATGCTATGCGATGAGGCTGTTTTACACCATATCTCATCAGTCCAAGGATAGATTCAGCCATTTCTTTCAGCAATATTTTATTTATTTCAATTTGGATTATTTTCATATACACCGTTTTTTCTACATTATAGCTCAGGCAGTCATATTACCATTTATAATATTTTCAAATTTCTGTAAGCTTTCATCACTATACACAAGAACTGTATCACCAGCAAACATTAAATGCTTCGAAGCTTGCTTTGCAAATTTCAGACATAACGCTCAAACCTTAACTACTAGGATTGTTTAAATAAGTACATTGAGTTGCTTACTATTTGTCAAATAGCCATTTAGATACTCATGACGCTATTAAGGCAAAATTCTGCATCGAACTTGCACACTCACGTAATTTATAGAGATTATTCAATAACGGAATGTATACCCAATAGTATCAAATGCATTTTTGAAGTCTACAAACAATATCGTAGTTGCTTTAGTTTATTTATATTTTATTTATAATGAAATGTCCATTCAATAAAATTATTCAGTCTATTTCTTATAACTTTTTCAAGGACCTCCGATAAAGTGCTGAGTAGAAAGATTGGTCCGTAGTTGCTTAAGTGCTGTTGAATTATTTTTTTATGGATTTTTATTATTTTAGCAGTCTTAGTCATTAGTCTAGTTGTTAAGGCAAAGTCCGTTATGCAGTCAGACCTAGGTTTGACCACTTTCTTACATTTCATTCAATGGTGAAACAATAGTGTATTATGCAACAAGTGCGGTAAACGGAATTTGACTCACGAGTTTATTTGACACGAGCGGAGCGCAGCGGAGCGAATTTTTAATAAACGAGTGAGTTAGAAATTTTACCGAACGTGTTGCATACTATACTTTTTCTACGACCGTTAGTTTTTGGGAACATTTTCGCAAAACAACACGAATACATTAACTAACATGACCGTCGGAATTGACAAACGTCAAAATTCAAAGCGTGGGAAATATCTCCGAAAACATCCGATTGCTTCCAAATCCGTGCGGACGTGGTAAAGTGACGCCTCTCGCACGCTAGATCGGTGGGTAATTAGGTATTTTACAGAAGGGAGTAGAAAAAAATTTTTTTTAACAAGTTTTCTAATTTCAGTCACAGCTGTTTTTCTGCATATTGCTCGTATAATTTTTTCATTTAATTAAATTATTTTTTTGGCCGTTCATTCGGTTTTGTTTTATTTCGTAACACTTGTCCCTGAGTTTCATTTTTTTAAAAGTATTCGTACTTTACTTTATCTTCATTCTGTCAATTTGTCAAACGTTCTTACATATTCCCTTTCAACTTTTTCTGGTAACGTGTTGCTCCACAATTATTTTTTTATCGTTTTTCTTGTGATGCTCTCCTCTCCTGTTCTGTATCGAGGCTGTCTTACTGTCTTACTTTTGAAGATATGATTTAGCCTGTATATTTTAACGGAGTTTTGAAAACTCTTTATTCTACAGTTCATTTGTTGTTTTTTGTTGGGTTTATTGTTTGCTCACCACGAGCTACATGATTTTTTTTCCATACGCCGTTTATAATTCTTTTTCTTAGGTTTTAATTTTATTTTTTATTTTATACATTTGTTTTTCATTCATTCTGTATTTTTTATGTCGAATATAACATAACGCCTCTAAGTTGCTTTCATTTTTCTTGTATTAGAGTGTGCTACTTTATATGAATTATATAAATTTTATAATTTAGAGAAATTTTTATATAAATTTACATTAATTTTAATGAAATAAAAGAATATCCAAAAATGTTTTAAAAATTAGGGACAAATTTCGTCCAAAGTGGCAGCGGTAAATTTTTAGCACTGGAGTGGAGTTTTAGTTTCATTGTCAGTTTAGTTTTGCTTAGAGTAAACATGTTAGTGTTGATTTTTGTTCCTTTCCTCATTCCTTCAAATTTATTTGTCATAGAGGAAACTACTAATAATCACCATACAATAAAATTTCATTAGAATACTGAGAAAAAACGTACTTCCACTAGTAAATTTGTCATTTTTAAATTCTAGGTAAAATATAAACCATCATGATTATGAACAATTACTTGGGAAGCAGCTAAATAAAAAAAATGTTTTACCAGCAAACAATAATTATAGGTTCCGTAACTAGATAACGAACCAAAAATATGTGCTTCAAAAGAATCGTTTCACGAGAAGAAAATGTAAAATTTGTATAGTAGCTATATTTTTATCTTTATTATCCGACAATTGCATATACTGTTTCTTCGTGTTGAAGTTTGACAAGACAGCGTTCAACGTTTACTATAACATTCCTGAAACATTAGCATAGCAAATAAAAATTCCGTTAAAAATTTATATTTTGTAATGCAAAATTTGTCTGCAGATCTTCTAAAAACTTCAGAGGGTGTGGAAGCTGAAATTGAGGTGATAGTGGAGCTGCAGGAATAGGCACAATTAAAATGTTTAGGAACGTTGGTGCAGAGCGGATTCGCAGGAAAATCTATGCGCATTGCAACAGAAATTAAAAGTCGATTTACTGACAGTCGTGAAACATCGAGCCGAGTTCGGCACAAAATTGGATTTAGGTTAAAAAATATTGAGCGGAGTTGCATTAAAGAGACCCAACGATTGGAGGCAAAAATATTTAACTCGCATTTGTCAATATTATTTAGACGATAATTGGTTCGACCTATGACAGTATAAGAGCAAAATTCTTCACTGAACATCGAATGCATCTTCTTTTGGAGGAAAAAGAATATCCATTTTACACTGTTTCTCTTGCCATATCCGAACATTCGAAAGGCAGACCACCATTGGAAATGTAATAGGATAGGTCCCAGAATGAATCCTTGTGGTACACCCTGCATTATATAAAACCTTTTTAAGTATGCACATATAGATTGTTTTCTATTTACGAAGGCGACAGTGGGACTGGTCCGTAATTCCCAATGTCCGCATGTGTTAATCATGTACTTGAAGTGGAAAAAAAATTAATATGGGCAAGACTACAGAATACATACTTGTGGTGTTTTAATTTCCATACTACCACCATGAACCGGTTTGATTAATTTGCTCAAAAATATCTACGAGAGCATTATTACAATCATGACAATTTATCGTGTGTCGGACTATACACATCATCACATCTTTATATATTCAGTTCAGTTTATAACCCTTTCAAATCAATTTTAATTTTTCTCGTATAATATCATTACTTGTAATTGGTTCTAAAGATTTCATTCCACTAGAAATTTCACTAAAAATTTGGGAATAAATTCGTTAAGTTTGTAATCGAAAATAATGAAATTAGATAAGAAACTTAAACGGATTTTAATAGAGAGGAGATTAAGATTTTTGGTGACCATGGCTTAAAATATTTTACAAAATATTTGCTTATACAAAGTCTCTTTTTCTACGTAAAAAACGACAGCAAAACCATATTTTTTCGCCATTAATTAAACCGCGCCCTAGCGTTGAAAAGAGAAACTACGAAAAATACTTACAGGGTGTCCTCCCTTTCGATTTTTCTGGAGCTGTCGACGGCGACGCTGTGCCGTATGGGAGGTTTCTTCGGCAAATTCTCTGCAAGCACAAATAAATTTTAGAAGATATCTTGGGCTTCTGTTGTTATTTCACTTTTCAACTGATCAAGTCCAAAATGAATACTGTATTCACTTAAAGACGACTGGAGATACTTTATCAGTTGACACTTCAACATCATCAACATTGGAAAAAAGCATTCCTTAAAACTATTGCCAATGTGGAGAACACTGAAAAACTGAAAGATTTCAGCTATTATCTTCATTCGGGTTTAAAGGCCGTCGTCGATTGGAATTACTTCCTAACGTTTCGCTAGCACGAGTGGAAGTAATTCCAATCGACGACGGCCTTTAAACCCGAATGAAGATAATAGCTTATCAACGGGCCGCGAAAGCCTTAACCAATTTGAAAGATTTCAGTTTCCAAAATATTGGAAAAACATATATGTAAGCAAATTACTGAGTTTTTAGAAAACAATAATCTCATACCGGATGAGAATCAGGTTTTAGAAAACATTTTAGCACCACAACAGCACTAGTTGGCATATTAATTGATGTAAGCTATAATAAGGAACAGGAAAATGGCACTTGAATAGCTATGCTTGGTTTGAGTAAAGCGTTGGATACTTTGAGTCATCATTTATTATTTGCAAAATTGAAGTATTTTGGATTCTCAAGTAATGCCTTAAATCGTATGAAATACATTCTAATGGGTAGAATACAGTCGAGTTGTAATTACAAAAAGTACAACAAAGAACTCTTTGATGCAAACTGCCGAATTTCAGTTAATTAAGCAAGATGTTCCACAAGAGCAGTAATTTCATCAATCCTCTTTTCTTGACGTGTCTGATGTGAATCAGACACGTCAAGCTTATTATCTACCAATTATCCACTAATTAGTATCCAAGCCGTTGCAGCAGTTCAACAAAAACTTAACGCAGATCTTAACAACTTGAACTTATTTGGTATCAAATCACAACCTAAAACTTAACCCTCAAAAACCTCAAATTATTATCATTGATAAAAACAATAACATTCGGGATTGAAAACAATATTATTCCAGTTGTAAATACGACAGGAAATTCAGGTTTGACTTTTCACAATTCTCTATCATTTGATTTTCACATTAAAAGAAAACTTAAAGTCAGTTACATACGCCTTAAGAACATTTACAGATGAAAGCAATTTTTAAATCCAAAACAAAAATATTTTCTTTGCAACGTCTTAGTTCTTCTATTGTTTGATTACGCAGATGGGGCATATGGAGATTGTTTGTATTGGTCAATACAAAAATTGCAAAACTCTTTTATGCATTTTGCCTATAACATTTTGTTCAAGTTCGTTTCAACTTCTTGCATATTCCCAAAGAACATTTCCATATTCCAGAAGAATCATTTCTTTATGTGGCAATAAAGATACGAATAGTCTTACAAGTCAGATGAGGGAATTCAGCGTACACAAAATTAATAAAATCTAAAGTACTCATCGAACAAAATCTGCTTTTAGAATAATCAATTTAAATATTCAAAGGATATTTTTATTTATATTTACTGTTATGTTTAAACTTCATCGTCGATTTGGCTTTGGGTCTCCTTTTTGTTTGTTGTTTTAAGCAGTTACAAATTGAGCACCACAACATTCGTTTTTTTTTTCATTTTCTTTTCTTCTTCAATTAATAGTCATGCGATATATTAACGTGCTTCAAGATTCGATGCTGTTGTAGATTCTGGGGCCTTCACGCTAATATTTTTTTTAGGTGTTATTATAATCGAGAGTGGGTTGTTTTTATCAAAATTTAATTTTTTGTCTATTTTATCTAATTATATTGTATTATTATCATTGTCTAGAACCTTTTCAAGCAAATCGATGACGAACCTCGCTCTAGACGCCCCAGCACGTCAATAACTGATGAAAACTTTGAAGAAGTGAAACAAATGGTGTTGAAAAATTGTCGAATCACATTTACAGAAGTGGCGGAAGATGTCGGCATTTCTATTGGCTCATGCCATGCAATTTTTCCCGAAATTTTGGGCATGCAACGTGTAGCAGCAAAATTTCTTTCGAACCTACTTAATTTTAAAGAAAAGGACCGTCGAAGGACCATCGCTGAAGAGCTGACAAACGAAGTTAATGATGATTTTGATATACTCAAAAAGGTCATAACTGGTTACGAATCATGGGTAGAAGGTTAGGACGTCGATACCAAAGCCCAGTCGTCCCAATGGAAGAACCCAAAATCTCCAAGACCAAAAAAAGCATGTTAAATTTCAAATGTGCTATAGTATATCTCCGAGTATATCGTGTTGAAGTTTGACAGATCCTACCGCAAGAAACGTTTCACAATTTTACCTATTTTGACAAAGCAGGAGTGGTCCAGATAGTTCTAATGTTCTGTTATTTAATATTTACCGGTCCATAGTTTTACTGGCGGTGGCCGCTGGTGCTGGAGCTTTGCCGTTTATTTCAATTTAAAACCGTTATTTCAGTAGTCAATAATCTGTGACGCCACCTGATTCATTGCACAGATAGCAATGATCACTACAGTGCCGTGTACTAAAATTGCGTAATTTTTTTGTCTAATAAAAATTATTTTGATCAGAAACTTTAACTTAATTAACTTCACAAAACATTTGAAATACAAAGTTAATTTGATTTTGTTCGTCTCTTGAAAGGCAATTTTTATTTTCAATTTGCTAACTCTAAAAGTTGAAGCTATAAAATTTTCATATCGAAGAAGCCGTAAATTTTCTTTTTTCAATTCGTTGCTATACATTCTGGTCTAAATCTGGCACATTTCGTATTACATTTTAAACAAACTTCAGGTTGAGTGAGATTATTATTATTGGCGTAAGAAAGAATCTTCTGTTGTGTGTTCTAAATAATATCGATTGTTAAACGCGGGGTTCTGGTAATGCAGTCAATAAGGTTTGTGTGAAGTAAATTTGGATTTTTTTAGGAATAAATGGTTAGCCTGTGGGTAAGCTTTATGAAATTATTTCAATGGTTCATCCTTGTTTGAATAAAGTATTTGCAATTTTGACTATTTTTGACAGCATCAATCTTGCGCATGTAGAAGACATAATGATAGTTTCATGATGGTCTTAATTTATAAACAATTCATAAAAGTTTTTGGTTGCATGCAGCAATGTAACATAATATAATCCGACAAAAGTATATTTATTGCTTGTTAATAAATCGAACTTGCTGACGTTTCGCCAATTATCCTGCTAGCTTCTTCAGAGCTTATCTGAAACTGATTCACATTCTACTCTGTACTTGCTTATATACTGTTTCATGCCTCAACCACAATATTCACCAGATATGGTCCCCTGCGACTTTTTCCTGTTCCCAAAACTGAAGAAAGTCATGAAAAGAAGAAGGTTTGGAACGATTTAGGAGGAAAAATTGCTGGAAGAACTCAAGGCTATTCCAGAAAGTGCTTACCAGAAGTGCTTTGAAGATTGCAAAAAACGTTGGCGCAAGTGTGTGTTATATCTGGGGGAGATTACTTTGAAGGGGGCAACATTAATTTTCATGAATAAATAAATACTTTTTGATAAAACTTAAAAGTAACCTTACTTTTCAACACACTTCGTATATAGCTATTTTATAATTTTCATTATCTTCATTATATTCCAAAAAATAGTTTAGTTCTTTTTCTCGAGAGTCAAAAGTGTCTCGGGGTATTCGACTAAAATACAGCTTTTCAATAGGGTATTGGAAGATCTAATAATAAGCCGATGATAAATTGGGGCTAGGACATTTTGAATTATATTTGGAGCAGCTCGCGAGATTCCTGATGTCAACGACCCGTAATAATTGAAACCAGGGGTCACGGTAATTCTCGCTTTCGTAAAACGCTTTGTTTCGGCACCTGTTTATGAAAAGAAAAAATGGCCACTCTTCTAGCCGTTTATCATCTCGAGGACGTTATCGGTTATGGTCGCAGCCGGTTATTCCACGACGAATTCTCTCTTAAACGGCCTCTCGCTCTAAAAATAACCAGTCAGCGAAATTTAAATGTGGCTTCATTAAGACCAGTTTCGTCTTGAACGGTTCAGTCGCCGACTACGCAAAAAGTTATCGGACCAAATGACGACATATTGGATCACAACTCAATTACACGTTGCCATCGAAAAAAAAAATATATATCGACCAGACGAGCTTTCGACTAAATGATTAGCGATAGCCAACATAAACAAAGAGTTGCCTTTCCTACAAATTGTGTTTTATCCATATAGATATTGCACAATATAGAAAAGGGAATGATTTTCCCCGCATGCCTCTACATTTCACCCACTTTTATTTCTAAGTAGCAATTTCCACGCACTCAAGTTGTTTCGTGGGGATAAATAGATAGGTGGATAGATATTTATTTTATTCTCAACATTACCATAAACGTGTAAAGGAATAAGTAAAAAAAATCATTCAAGAAAGCTTCCTCTCTATTAGAATGCGTCAAAAAAAAATTGTGTTAAAATTCTACGTTTCTATGGACTCCCGGAGCTTCACCAATTGTTAGCACCCAACCTATTCTATAGGAAAATATCTAGCAAGGAAAACTTATCGTATATAGTATAGTATTAATTACTTTCACTTCATTGAACAATTAAAAACCATTACATGATATCCAAACTACATTCTATTTTTTTCTGTGTCTAGTTCTGTTTTCCTAAATTAATTTTTGTGATCGTTGGAAGCAGTAGCAAAAGTTGATTTTTCAATCAACCCTAATAGGTTTGACCTAGGCCTAAACTTCAATGCCAAAAATTTACAGCTGCCATTTTGAATGCAACCTGTCAGTAATTTTGACGTAATTACAGAGATGTCCCAAAGTACTTTAGAGGAATGAGTTTTCAAAAATCGTTGCAAGTTCTCTTTAATCTATTATTAATGTTATCAGAATATTTAAAGAACAAAATTCATACCATAAATAATAATACTCGAAAAAACGCTTATACCAGAATTTCATTAAAAAATGCAGGGTAAAACATATATTCAAAAGTAAGACAATATAATATTCAACAAAGGAAAGGAAAGTATTACAAGAAAAACTCTAAAGGCAGAATTGTGGTGAAAGGCTCTTTGTATAGGTTCCTATTCTGAAACTAACAATTGTTTGGATTTTCCATTATGATCAGTGATCGCAAATATATACTGAAAGCTTTTGAAAAGAAAGCCCTCGACACGTTCCATGTAAAACCAAAACTATAGAGATGCAACGTTGATGATATTTTTGACATTTGCCTCGTGGTCAAGAAATCCTCCGAGATGTTCTTAACAATCAACAATTACAAATCAATTAGAAATTTATAATAATGCATTGTTACATCATTCGGGTCAGAAGTTATGGGTTAACAACTTTCTTGTTTACAAAGCCGGAAAATTATCTCAACACCAATAAAATCATTATTGACCATATAAGAATGTTAAAACCAGATTTACCGCTTGTCCAATACATCTCTCAATATATTACAGCATCGCAATGCATACGCAGCACAGGATACATTGGGAAGACAGGACAAAAAACATCATCTAACCTAAAAAATATGAAATAGTCAACACTACGACAAATAAACTCATCAGCTCTTGCCGAACATTATCATGAAATAGGACATAAAATATTATTTGACCAAGTTAGAATCCTTGCATGTAATCAATTCTTTTACTCAAGATAAATCCGAGAGTCCATAGAAATCTCCAAATAATCAAACAATCTTAACCACTACCTTCACCTTTCATCAATAAAAGAATCAGTCATCCGAGACAATGCCATGCCAATGCCAGTTTATAAATCGGTAAAGAGTAAAATGCAAGCCAGCTTTAGTGAAACTCTGAATAAGCAAATAGGATGATTGGCGAAACGTCAGCAAGTTTGATGCATCAACACCTTAGGAGGTATCCAGAAGATTTGTAAATAGCATATGTTGCAGTGAGTATTTTGTTTTTTTCAAAAGTTTATCTACAACTAGCAGGTCAAAAAGAAGTCTCTTTCGTGCAATATCGCTGGCTTTTCCCCCGAGGACAAGGTTATAGGAGAATGCTGAGAACGCTAATACGTAGTAAACATTTCTGAGTGTCTGGGCGGTGAGAGACTTTTTAAAAAAAAGTTAACTTAAAACGTTTTTATTGAGTTTTAGACAAACAAAGTCGCTATTCTGCCACCAAGAAAGTGGGCTAGCATTTCCCGACCAGAAATTTATCGGTCTTCTCGGATTTAACATCTTTTTAACTGGGTTGACTGCAGTTTTGCACCATTCTCTCACATAAGAAAGCATAATTTGTATATCATACAACAGAGTTAGACGACATTTACCGGATATAAAAACTGTTGTAACTTTGGATTATTTTAAAACTAACCCTTTGGAAATATAGTCTGGCAGATCACGTACAAATAGCACGAAAATCAGGGGCACCAGGACATTACTCTGGGGAGTACCTACCTACCTCTAGATCTTCGATTTGGAAAATTACGTTTGTAATGCAGCTTTTAGTTTAAACAAGATACTCAAAATTGACATAGGGCGATAGTTCTCAATGTTATTGGAGTGGATTATATTTTATACACGGGACCATTCAAAAAAATGTTTTATTTGATGTTTCTGAAGCTACGCAAGGTATCATTTAATATAGTTAGTGAATCTCAGATTCAAGGATCAAATAGCCACCTATAATTCGAGCTCCAATATGTAAAGGCAGACGTGTCATAGTGTCTAGCTGCTAGACCTTGCCAATGATTCTTTAATAAGTGCAGATATGACAACACAAAACTATACAAAAAGCTCCGGGGAAATCTCAAAAATTTAGAGGTTATTGTTTGTGTGGCAAAAAACAGTTACGTCATTGCTTATTGCCTGGAAAAATACACCCAGCCATTTTGGAACCTACCATGGTACTTGGCTCGGAGACACGTCAGGCTGCTGATGATGGTGGCCCGATGTGAGGACTTTTTGACGCCCAGATCTTTGATATCAGACTCGGAAAATTCCAGCAAGTCTTCGACGCCGCGGAATTTGTGGAAGAGGGAAGCGTACTGCTCCAGATCCAGGTCTCTGAGCCACTGGCCGATGTCTTTGTGCTTAGGTTGCTGCTCGACGCCATTCGTCTTCTGGAGTCTGGACTTGCGGAGCGGAAGGGAACCGAATCTGCTCCAAGTGAGGTCTACAACGAAAGCGCATGCGTTAATTTTTGAATCACTAGCGTCTGAGCCGCTCGTGAGCTTGGTTCCCGAATTGCATATGTAGTAATCACCGACAACGGCATGTCGCGTCAGAACTTAAATAAGATTTAACCTTGCTTATTTCATGGTACTTGGTATTGTTATATTTTTAATGAGGTTGTGAAATTACTAATATTGTGGAAAATATTGCATGAAATTCCAGTTTTCCGAATGTCAAACATTTTTCATTAAACTGCACGCGCCTTAACGATATAAAAAATATTTCCCTGGTTCGGATAATACTCATTGATAACTTAAGTAGTTTAAATAGGCATATTAAAACAATATATGATCTAGACCATAATCTTCAAACTCAGGTCAAAACTATAAAAATAATTAAAAATGTGCTAATTAAGTAAGTACGAGCCTTTAAAATATTCTTTTATTAGCGGTACGAAACTCACCAAATGCATTAATGGTGTATAGTTGTTCCCCATGAAACTCCTCCTGGAGTCGATGAAATATTGATTGATTCAGATAAAAATGATTACAATTATTACACAACTATCTACAAAATCTAGTGCAAATATATCAGTTGAAGACAGAAAAAAGATTCTTTTACAACAATATCATGAAACTAAATCTAGTTCAAGTTCAAATAAATTCTCTAACTCTACTCAAAATAACCTTATTTCAAGAAACCTTTGGCAGATGAGTCAAATTTTTTCAACCATGAATATCTAATTTAAAATGTTTGGCATTTTGATCTAGAGCATAATAATAATTATTTTTTGATCTTGTACAATATATATCTGAAATTTTTAGGTCAAAAGGTTGGTTAGTGTCAGTGTGTCCATATTTGGTGATGATTGTGATGATGATAGAGAGAAGAACGGTAAAATAAAGGAAGTTTTAGAAAATTCTGTTTGCAATAATGAATTTCGTTCAGTTTGTTATTTTATCTATTTTGGTTTTTCATTCTAAAAGGTTAACCCGACGCACTTCGCAAATGTGAGACTTTCTAATTAGTGCGAACAGTTACGGCTAGTGGGAAAACTTTTAAGGTGTTCTGTAATACTTCCAAAAAAACCTACCTTAACCAAAAACAAAGAATTATTAATTTCATTATTATTTGTTCATGACAAACTTCAAACGTTCATTATGTTTCGATTTGTTTATCCATTTGCACAATAAGCAGAATCTAATTGAGCCCTAGTATTCGTCGACGCTAATAACGCAAATTCCGTACAATTATGAAAATTAAAATTTAGAATTTTCATGTTTTTCTATTTTCAAAATTAAATGCTCTAGATCGGTGACCCCTATTTCGGACCAAGCTCTACTGCCACTAAAAAGTAAGCAGGACAAACAATATAGAGCATTTTTTATACACCACAAATCTATTTATTTTTTAAGTAAATGTGTTTAATCTATTTTCATGTACAAGTTTTTCCTTTTTTCAATAATATCTGGTAATGCCCCACTTTTTGCTTTTAATTCTTTTCTTTATATGAATACAGTAGAGCTTCGCTAATCCAAACTCCACTTATCTGGATTCTCCAGTAATCCGAACAAAATTTAAATATTAATTATTTACATTATGTATTCTATAATCCGGATTTCTTATGTATTCCATAGTCCGGATCATGTGTTCTTCGATAATTGCATGCAGCTTTTATGGTGTTGTATAGGTGAATCCCCTAATTAATTAAAAGCCGCAAAAGACGAGTCGAGATTTTCTTAGAGGTTAAACATCATGGCACCAAAGAGAGCACACGAAACTTTAACACTAGCGGGAAAATATGATATTTTAGAAAAATTAAAAAATAGTGTTAGTACGTCGACTATTTCGGATATAAAACAGAAAATCTGGGCAAATAAAGAGTTATGTATGTTGTATAGCTAGCATGATTTTTTCAGTATGTAATGTAAATTTTGTTTTGAGAGTTTTGAAACGACAGAAAATCAGAAAATAAATATTTTTCTTGTTTTATCTTTTGACATTTTGGGTTATTTTATTATTATTTATCGTATGGCTCTAGAAGTGCTATATAATAGGTTACAAACAAAATTCTTATGAAAGGTAGTTATAAATGACAATTAATACAAGTAATGTAAAATACAGTAATACGCAGGTGCATGCGTGCAACCTAGCGGTATGGGAAAATCAAATCTACAGGTCCAAATCCAGTTCAGATAACCATGCAATGGCAGCTGGGCTTGCATCAGTAAAGTCTTTCCATTGTCCAGTAAATCTTCTCAGTGGGCAGTCTTGGACTATATGCGTTAATGTTTGCTCTTCAGCTCCACAGTCACATGCTGGATTGTCGGCAATTCCCCATTTGTGCATCGCTGATCTCGTCTTTGCATGTCCAGTTCTAACTCTATTTAATAGGGACCATGTTTTACGAGGTAGTTGCATCCCTGGGAGCTGTTTATTAGGATCTTCTATGTTGTGTTGATTGACATTGCTGTTATTCCATACGGATGTCCATGATTCAGAAGCGTCGTAGGTTTTTCCTGGAGCAAGTGCTTCCAAGTTCCATATTGGGGCCCTTGATTTCAGTCGATTCACACAGGGTTCATCGATTACCTTGTGAATAGGCCAGGTTCTTGGCTGGTCTGGGTGATTTATCTTTTGCCATTCTTGGAATGTAGCCTGTTGTCTTCGGATTCCTGGGGGAGCGATATTTGATAGTACGTGGAGCCATGGTAAAGGAGTCGACTTCAGTGCCCCTGTTACTCCCTCATGGCTTCATTAAGTTGGGTGTCAATCTTATTTACATGAGAGCTTCTGCCCCATACAGGAGCGCAATACTCCGCTACAGAGTACACAAGTGATTGTGTTGCAGTGCGTAAGGTAGCTGCATTTGCTCCCCATGTGGTGCCTGCCAATTTACGTATGATGTTGTTTCGGGTTTTAAGTTTCTGGCATGTCAATTCAAGGTGCTTTTTAAAGGTGAGAGACCTATCGAGGACTACGCCTAGATATTTGGGGTGTTTGTTGTGTTTGACTGGTTCTCCACAAAACGTGACATTTAGTTCTCTGTGCGCCATCCTGTTATTTAAGTGGAAGGCACATGTCTCTGTTTTATTTGGGTTCGGGCGCAGTCTCCATTTTTGGAAGTATTGGTTTAAGGTTTCTAAGTCGGCTGTTATGGTTGTTTTTCCTTCTTCAAGGTGTTTATTTTGAGTGGCTATAGCCATGTCGTCTGCGTAACAAAACTTACGAGACGTAGTATTTGGGGTGTCACTTATGTAAACATTAAAAAGTAGTGGAGCCAGTACTGAGCCTTGAGGGAGACCGTTTTTAATGTTTCTTGATTTGCTACTTGATGTGACTAAAGTGACCTTGAAATAGCGACCTTTCAGCATTCTTTCCAGTAATCTGGTTAGTATCATGCAAGGGATCATTTTCATGAGTTTCAGGATCAGCCCATCTATCCACACTGTGTCGTAGGCTGCGCTAAGATCGATAAAGGCCACTGATGTTTTTAGGCCTTTCTGAAACCCTGCTTCTATGTAAGAGGTGAGGGCCAGTACTTGTTCGCAGCAACTACGGTTTGGTCTGAATCCTGCTTGCTCATGCGGTAGATGTTCATTTATGATAGGGCATATTCTGTTGTAGATCATCCGTTCCAATAGTTTATAACAGATGCACAGCAAGGCTATAGGGCGGTAGTTTGCTGGGTTTTCAGGACTTTTTCCCGGTTTGAGGATAGCGAGAGTGTGAGACATTTTAAATTTATTTGGAAGCCGTGCTGTATACAGTATGTCGTTAAAGAAGTCTTTAATCCATGTTCTTGCTTTTGGGCCTAGGTGTTTAATAAATTCAGGGAAAATGTTGTCGACGCCAGCTGCTTTCCTTTATTTAAGGCTTTTTCTAGCAGTGTTCACCTCGTCGTTAGTAAAAGGGGTTGAAAACTGTATTCCTCTTCTGATCTAGTTCGTTTTGTACTGATGTCATGTCCTCTTTGCTTATGGTTACGCACTCGGCTCTTTCTTTGATGTGTATCGCAATCTCATTTGGCGATACTGCTGGTTTGGGGATTGGTATGTGGGTTGCAGCCCCCCGTCGTCTCAATAGGGACCAGCTTTTTCGACTTGAGTGGGTAAAATTCAGGTTTTCTGTAGTTTCTTCCCATCTTTTCCTTCTTTGTTGATTTAGAGATTCCAGCAGTCGACTCCCCACTTGAGGATTATTTGTTTCCCTGTACTCTAGATATAAGTTTTCTGTATCAGAATTCCAGCATGGTATGTAGTGTTTTCTATGTCCCCTGGGAATATTTCTCTTGGCCGACGCAATCATGAGGCCAACAAACCTGGTGTAGTTTCCGACTTTAGGTTGAACAAACCGTATATTTGATTCCATTTCTCTTTTGTATGTAGGCCAGTCCGCTTTCCTGAAGTTCCATCTTGGCTTTTGGACTGATTCTATCAGTGGAACCTGTATACCAATGGTTACAGTGACTGGACGGTGTTGAGTTCGAGGGAAACTAGGAAGCACCCTCCTCATATGTGGCAAGGGGGTTCGTTCCTCATCAGTGGAGACAATACATAAGTCAGGGTTGGTATCTGTCTGTCATCGTGCTGAGCGGAAGGTTTTCAGGTCTTTAGCGTCATAAATGAGATATAGATCTTGTTCTTCAATCCATTGCATCAAGGTTTCTCCATTGTCGTCATTAGTATTGTATCCCCAGCTGGTGTGGTGGCTATTGAAATCCCCGAGAAAAATTGTTGGGGTGTTTTCATTTAGGAGTGGAGGATTTGGCCATTTTTGGTACAAACTGTAAACTCATAGGTGAGTGAATTCCTCTAGACTAATGTTATCGTCTCGTTTCAGTTACATCGAAAATTGCACCGGCCCGTAAGAACACTCTGCGCAAAGGAGACTACCCTCAAATGGAGACGGAGTTATACGAGTGGTTTATTAAGCGGCGGGAAAAACATATAACCATTAGATCCCATATTTTAAGAGAAAGGGCAATACAACTTTATGCAA